GGATGGCAGAACCCACTTAGAGCAGGCAGGTTTTGGGGCTTCAGGGGTGCCTCTCTCTGAATTGAGGTGCCCTATAACACCCTCAGCAGTGGATTTCAGCCCATCTGCCTATTCTGCTCCCCACTCTGTCTCTGGGAAGTCCTCTCACCCCACACCTCTGGCCTGTACCCCAGGTCTGTATGCGTAAACAAATAAATCTTAAAAATAAATAAATAAATAAAACGTGGAGACACTCCGTCCCCATACTCACAGCTCAGCAAATGCCTTCCCAGTGGCGGGGCTATTTCTACCCCTGGGCAAGCCGCTCATTAAAATTGAATGACAACCACTTACATTTGTATGGCCTTTTCCACTTACAGAGTTCTCCTCCAGCCATTCTGTTTTAATCCTCACAGCATCTGTAGGCTTGTCTTTCCTCACTAATGGGAGAATTAGGGCTCTGTGGAGTAGCACCCCCGTCCTGGGCCAGGGCGCTCTTCAGAGGCAGTCGGCCTCTGATTCTGGCCTTTCGGCTCTGACACGTCAGGAGTAGCTCACCTCTTCGGGCTGCTTCTACGGTACAAACAAGCCAGGATTGGAGGATAATAATCCTCTTTTGGTGGATACAGATAAGCTATTTAGGGCTATTTTGATGGGAAGTGACAAAACCCAACTCAAACTCTCTTCAACGAAACCTGAATGTACTGACTCATCTAATAGAACACTCCAGAATTCCGTCTTCAGGCACCATGTCGCCAAGGTCCAATGTGTGTGTCTGTCTGTCCAGGACTATCTGTCCATCTTCTTAAACAAGCTCTATTTTAGGCATCAAAGACGGTCCACTGTGGCGAAGGCTCCTAAAATATCCCCAGCTCAACAAACTCAGAAGAAAGGGAGACGCCTTTCTGCAGCGGGGGCCAAGGGCCTGTATATCACTGTCAGCCATGTGCTGCCCCGGGGCCAACTTGTCTAGAACAACAGAGTGCTGTCATTGTCCACACCTGCTCTCGGTCTCCCCTCTGGAGGGTGGAAATAGGCGGAAAGTTTCTTTGGAGAAGGCGTGGTTACAGGAGGGAGGGTGCAGGAGGGAGGGTGGGTCTCCCGTCTGGGCTCTGCAGGACTAGACCAGAGCAGCCAGAGAGGCCCTGGAGGCCCCTAGTAAGAACTTCCAGCTCTGGCCTGGAGAGAGAACAGAACACGGACTTGTGTGTCTCTTCCCGCACCGCCTTGCTTGCTCCGCAGGCTGGGGAGGGCAGTGGCTCAGGGCAGAACACGGCCCGTGGCGCTTCAGGCTCCAGCATTGCTGAGTTCAGAGTGAAGTGCCCCACCCAGCAGGTGGCCATAGAAAGAGACTGTGATAAGCTGCTTGGGGTTGACCACTTCCCTGGCCCCTCCTTCCGGCATCTTCTATGCCCCCAGAAACGCTGCCAGCCAAGAGGAAGCGACACATCTTTTTACCCTCCATCTCCTCCCCAGACCTTAGCATAGTGCTGTGTCGGGCACACGCTGAGGGTTACCAAGTTTTTCTCTTCTGGGTGGATAAATTAATGAATCAGATCCATCCGTCTAATTGGCAACGCCCCTTTTTGGTCTCTGTTCTCCATCTGTCAAGTGTGAGAAGGTAGAATGAGACTCTCTCCACAGCCCCTTCAGCTCAGGACTCTGGAGTGGGAGGGTTCTCAGACCCCAATATGCCCTCTGCAGGAAGCCGTGGGCAGGGGACCAAAAGGCATGGCACCTCTGGTGGCCGGGTCCTGGTGAGATGACTTTACATGGGTCAGAAGTCCCCAAATTGCAGGATTTCACAGGCCCATTAACTTGTAAAATTTTAGGATTACCATTTTTTATTTTGTCAAATAAGGACACTAAAGAAGCTGCCCACTATCACCACTATTTCTTTCAAAAGGGAATTTTACACTTTGAAAGGAAGAACTTAACCTCAGAAAAAGGGCCCCCCACAATCCCAAAGAAAGTCGGCAACCTAACTTTCACTTTTTTTTGGAGCTATAAATTCCGTCTGCCCCCCTGAATGGAGTCTAGTCTTTGAAACTCACTACCAAAGTATTTTTCACCCTCCCATCTCCAGCACACACCCACACACCTGTGACGTGGTACTTAATCGGCTTACTTTATGGAGGAGGGAAGCAAAGTCTCAGAGAGCTGAAGTGCAAGGTCACAGAGACCGTAAGTAGCAGTCGGCCGCTGTCTGGATGCCAGCCTGGATCAGCCTGGCACCTAAGTCAAAGCACTATTTTCTGCAGGGAAGAAAGGACCTCACTGGCTCCCTGGGAGCGCCTCGGGGTCACTCAGGCCTAACCTTGGCCCTGAGCTGGGCCCCCTTGTGCTTTAACATATCATTATGATGTGCCCACTTCATGCCAGGCACTGGGGGGAGTGCAGGGCAGGAAAGCCCTGGCCCCACGCTCAGTCTCCCCTCGCCTCTCCCCGCCCCCGGTACTCATCCTGAATGCTGGTCCCCAGCCCGAGCTCCTTGTCCTGGCGACCCACAAATCCCCACCGCAGGCGTGAGCTGCTCACAGGTTTCGGGACTCCCTTTCCCAGGGGTGTTGGCAATTTCCTAGGAGATTCTGGGAACCTTCAACACCTCCAAGACCAAAAAGGCCCGAAGCGTAATGGTGCTGCTGGAGGCTCTGGGAGAGGCTGCAGGGAGGTAATTTGCCTGCAAGAGAACATTTCAAACCCCATCAGATAATACTCTGTTCGGCACCCCCCCATTCCCACGCGTTTTGCGGGGATCCGCCGCTCATCTGGAAGAAGGGGGTCCCCCCAACCAGAGGGCTCTGCTGGCCAGGGCCGTCTTGCTCGGGCTGGGGTACCCGGAGGCCTGCCTCCCCTCCCCCTCTCTGCCAGC